TGCCAAAGAGGGTGGAATGCTTAGAAAAAGGTTGGAAATGAAAGTCAGGCCCTAACCATCTGGCTTATTGCCAGCAGCAGCCACCAGTTCAGTCTTCTCTTCTTCACTCCCTTGAGTTTATTACTAACTGGTTTGGGCATACCCATTTTTGTTACTACTTCTTGCTATTTTGGGATGCCTGAGCAAAGACACCTATTTCAAAAAAACACCTAAAAAATCCTTCTTTTTGTTATCTTGCTTGTGCATGGTTTTAAAAGAATGACTTCTTAAACAAAAATTGCGGGACTGCCTTAATATCTGAAAATTACATAAAACCAAGGAAAAAAGAGCAGCAGAAGTGAAAATAGAAATAAAGATAATGATGTGTAAAATGAGGAAACTCTCCTGGATGGTTTGTAAAAACAAATATTTAAAAGTCTATTTCTAAAGGTCAGCTGAGGGAAATATACAGGGCAGAATGAAAAGAGGATTGCCTAGGGAGGCAGAACACTTGATTTCTAAAATTCATAAATTGTTATCTTACAAAAAGTAACATGCATAAATGTATAGCTTTGTATTAACTGGCACAAGCCAAAATGTTAATCTAAGACTGAAGCAGGAAAAGGCCATTATGTCTTAAGCCATAAAACGACTGAGTGATAGAAAAAGCCCCTGACATTCAATGACACTTTTCCATCACACACAAGTCCACTTCACTCCTCATACATGTGCCGCTAAAGTCCATGCATATCAGCGTATCACAGTACAAGAATGACTATGCTGGGAGACCTATTGGTTTTTCTATATCATTTGGAGAAAATGAGCATTTTATGCCATATAGTGTTTTGTGAATATGTAGTCAAAAATTATGCTAGCGTGAGTCAGTCAGTCAGTACAAACCAGCCTCAGGAAAGCACATAATCACAAGTAGTTCTGTGGTTACCTTCACAGCAAGCACGAAGGACTCAGAAAATTCAGAGCTTAAAGCATGAACAGTGTTAGATACATGTACAGCCCACGGACGTAACGATGTTTTGTAAGCTGGTCAGAAAGACCATGACTCTTTTTTTTTTTTTTTGTGCTTTAAAATGGTGTGCTACATTGTTCTTTTATCTGCACTCATGTCTCCCCAGGCTTCTTATCACGAATTCTTTTTCTGCTAAAGTAATGAGGTGACCAACACAGAAAACAGCACTGGGCTGCCTGACACTGCCCCCACGGAAGTGCAGCGAAGATCCAGAACCACAAGCTTAGTGATGCATGACATAAATAAATGATGAAATAATGAATGATATGATAATGAAATAAATTTCTGGGCTAGCTTTTATTGGACAGTTTAGTCAGAGAAAATAAGCTGGAAATCCCTTTCCTGCTTCAATTCAGGTTTCATTTTTAGTTTAAAAACATGACATCCTGTAAGTCTTTGGAGTCTGATGAACTGGATTAGTTTTAAAAAGAAAGTTTTCCATATGTACAATGAAGATTTGGCCATTTTGAGAAGGGAGGGTGGAGTGCACTGATCCTTTTTTTCTACAGTTCTTTTTAGCCTTCTTTCCAATGAAAACAAGGTTAATATTGTTACAGTGTCTGTCTGTCTGCCTTGCCACAGTAGAATTGTGAACATGTTGGCCAATTTCAACTATATGTGACAGGCAGGTCAAGGTCTCAAAGTTGTTGTGTTCCTGCAGACTTTACAAAGTTGACAAGCAGTACAGAGGCTAGAGACAAATTTAATGCCCTATTGAGAGGAAGAGCAGGGTGTGAGCTCAGCTGCAACCAACACTGTCCAGGAGACAGATTGCATGTACCCAGCCATGGCAATGGACGATTACATGCATCCATTCAATTTTAGAGATTCCTTAGATTTTACAGTGCGCTCATTGCCACAAAAGTCCAAGTGCTTCTATGCTAGACATGTTAAGACATGTGAAGCAAGAATCAATGGTAAGCTTCACAAAGATAGGAGCAGAGGGATCAAACAACTTAACTTCAGCTGTGACATGGAATTAATACATCTCCAAGTACTTTGTTGAGTTTTTTTTTGGTTGGTTTTGGTTTTTGTGAAATAGTTAAAATAGATACAAATTTCTTATTGCAAATAATCTGTCATTTAAAAAATTATTTTCTTTGTGATAGAACAAAGAGAGGGGTTTGAAAGAACAAGATCTGGTAGAACTATAAATTAAATGGATTTCAGTGTTCAACTGTGCTGTGAAAGAGTGAGGAGAGAGAGAGGAAAGGATGCTAAGAACCTGTTTATGGGCAGAAGCAGGACAGTTGGGATGATGGCAGAGAGCAGAATGGGAGAACCCCACTTTCCAGCCTTTTTCTCCTTACCCTCCCAGCCTGGCCAAGGATGCAACTGTTTTCAAGTAGAGTATGAACTCTTTCTTTTTTTTTTTTATTTTTCCATTTAAATTAACAAAGAACCAACCCAAGGAACATTGCACTGAAGAAAGCATGTTTTCAAATGTTGCGGTATTCATTCTTTACCCCATCTTCTTTAGAAAAGACCTCTCAAACAGTAGAATGGATATTGCATTGTTTCCTTATTCCCCAATATTCACCTTACAGTTTATTATAGCTTAATAAAAGAAACAGTAACCAATCCTTCATGAATATTCATATCCAATTCTTCTTTTACAGGAATAATATGAAAAAGAATCTCTTTATAAAGTTAATGTTAGACTCCTTTTGTAAAATAGGTCCAGTAACTTATTTTTAAGAGAAGTTTAGATTAGCAAGAAACCCAGTATTATAGACATATGACATATCTGAGATATTTCTACTGGCAATTCTGATAGAGTTAAAATATTTTTTGGTTTGAAGCACGATTTAAAAACCCTTCTTCCATGTCCTATTGGGTACAGCACAATTCCAAATTAAAGAATGTAATGTGTGAAATAGCTGGTAATTTTAATGATATCAGAATGGACTCCTTATTTTCCTGAGATTTTTAGCTTTTATCTATAAAAGGAAGCTGATATTCTGTGTTGGAAATACTATAATTAAGAAGCTATAAAGAGCTATGGCACATGCTCATTTCTAGCTGTTAATTTATTAAAATAATTATCTGAAGCTTCATGAAATGTGCAACCTTTGAGCAGCCATCATGTTTTTAATTTTTATGATGACTTGAAATTACGTAACTCAAATGCAACAAATGTGTTCTCTCTTCTATTTTTCTGTATCAGAACTCCATTATGGCCCAGCTCCTCACAAGGACTCTTGAAAGAAAAAGAAAACTCTTTTTTCTTGCACTTTACTCTCATTTAATAAGGAAGTATATACGTGTTATAGCAGAGACGTCAAGATAAATGGAAATCCTGCAATGTAGCTTAATAACAACAACAGAAAAAGCAAAACACAAAGTTCACAGCACCTTGCAAATCAGTTAGCACCAGTAAAGAGCCCAGATGAACTCAACACTGTGATAGATGCAGCTTCTCGGTAGCCTCATCTGTGCAGTATACAGGCTACATATTAACATCAGACCTCAAGTACATTTTCAGGTTTCTGAAAGCAATGGAGATCTTTTCATTCTCTGAGGCATGAGACACAGGTACTGTAATTTCGAAACAAGTGTTTTCTAGTGATCTTCTTCTCCAAAACACTGAAGAGAAACAGACATCTTTCTGGAATGCAGTGTACTTCCAGAGTAAAATCATGAACTTTCTGTCTATCTTCAGATTACTGCGAGCCTTTTAAGGGAAGTACATTCCTTTTCCCCTTCCCAGACATCTGAGAAGCAAAGCAAACTAAAACATCTCCTCATGAAGACAGAAATTTACTTCTTCATTTATTTCTTCCCATCTTCTGCATGCTCTTTGTATTTAAGATAGCAAGTATTTCATTGAGGAAATCTCTTCCCAACTCATACTCTGGACTGAGCCCACAGACTTAATGATCGCTCCTGTAAGGACATTGTGATGGAAATAGATGGGAAGAAAACATCACTGTGGAGTGCTGTAGTCCCTAACAATGAAACACAACCCACTTTCCCCTCTTCAGGATGCAGGAGAAAAGGATAAATGAAAAGGTAAGGATATGGAAAGTGGAGAATCCATGAACTCCACCTGCCGTAAATCTGATATAGTCTGATACACGCTTTCTAAATCTCTCTCTGAAGGACCTGAATTCCCTGCCTTCTGGCCTCCCTCTGACCAAGTGTCTCTCTGCATTCATCATCATCATTTTTCATAGCAGATACTGCTAAAAATGACTTCTCATTTAGCAGTTTTCAAAAGAGCCATCATCAGATCATGATTTCAGCAAACATTGCTAATGCATTCTTAAGGGATGCCAAACAGCAGAAAATTCTATGGGAAATCCATTTCGTGTCTTCATGGCAGTGATGTTTTTCTTCTTACAACATGGTATTCAAACCTCAGGAAGGGCATGAAAGCTAGAAAGAATTTAGGAAAAAGGTATGAAGCATGATTTAACATTTGATTGCGAAACCCCAAAAACCATTCTCAGGAAACTCAATTCAAGAAAAGGTTAAGAATGATTTGCGGGACTTTTTCCAGAACAAGGTCTGCTCCTTTCCACTAAGAGCCTACTGACTATTCTGACACGTACTCCGCAGTTCAGTTTGTATTCACTTAAATCTTGGAAACAGCATGGAGCTGAGTGAACCCAAAACACAACTCTGTGCTTTAAAAAACTAACTGGGAAGAGAGACAGCAGGTGAGTAGAGAAAGCATCAGGTCTCCATCCCCCTTACAGAGGGTTCTGTCAGAAAACAGACAGAGGTTTATGTGAATCATTCACTTGCAAATAGAGAAGGAGAAAAGTAATGAAACGATCAGCTTGAAGCAGGGGCAAGGTTGAAGAAGGGATCCCCCTCCTTCCACTTGGTATTGTAAGGATGAACTAGGATCCATCTAGGGCTTGGCGGTGTAATAGTGTTACAATTTTCCCTTCTTGCTTGTTTCTTTCAAACAGAGGTTCTCCTTTCACCCACAGCCCCCACTGTCTTCAGCTGGGCTGAAGGGCTTCACATTTCTGAAAACTGTGCCTTAAATTTCACTCAATTTTTGTTTCTTCTTGGTGAAAACTCTTGCTTTTAAAGGAGTATGTTTTCTATCAGAGTGCCGCAATCCTCTTGAGTGCCAGGAAGGAATGAATGAAGCAGCCTCTATGGTGGCACGGTCTGCAATCATGTCTTCTATTTCAAAGCTAGAGATAAACAGGACACAATCAGGATGTGTGGTGATAAAACATCCACAGGTAGCTCCTAAATCAGAAGGGAGGTGAATTTCTAGAGAAAATTGCTCAAGCCTGTTGACAGAATTGAATGACTAATTGTAACAGAAATACAAACAGGCTGAAATTACAATTTAATGGGCTAAAAAAAAGGATAAATTTTCAGCTGGCATGGTGTTCTTTCCACCCCCACCTGCTCCCCTTAAAAGATGCCATTTAAGAAAACTGAAACCTCTTCCTACACAGAACAAGAAAATACATATTTTCTCTTGGTATCAAAACAATGTTCTCTTTCCTGACTGCTTGTGGTCACTTCTCTTGAAAAACTAAGTCTTAAAAACTGATCTATACATAGTTAAAAAAAAGTGCATGAAGGTTAGAAATGCTTTTGCACAGTGCATAGAAGTGCAGAAGAATGTATACGTAAATCTCAAGAAAACACAGACATTCTTTAGTGAGAATAAGAAACGAAGTTGTTTGTTGCAAGTCAGCGATACTGCTGTTATCAGCCATGATCCAAGGTAATGTATATGTGAACTGCTGCTAGAGAAAACTCAGAACAGGGTGACTTCCAATAAGAGATGGTATTTCTAAACATAAGAAAACAGAAACGAAAACCTCTACCAGCTGCTCTAGCTATTTTCCTCCAAGAGTAGGAGGAAAGGATTTCAAAAGCTTTGATTTCTCTCATGATTATCACAATTTTTTTTCTAATCCAAGAATTCTGATTCTTCCCCAGGCTCATGCTAAAGCTGACCTAACAAGTAGATATATACTGACAACGTGCCTGCCTACATAACAGGGATTCTTACGGTCTACACGGTAGTAATGCAAATCAGAAAAATTTCAGGAACTTTCACATTGTTCTTGGTTGTACTTTGGGGAAGTAACCCTGAAGGCAATGGCTTGGAGTCTTCGTGTTTCATATTGCCTTCGTGTTTCCTTGGCTGACCTGAACACACCCCGCAGTCCTCTTGCAGCTCTTTTCCAGTGTGTGTCCTACTGGGCAGTTCCCTAGGGAAACTCTGCATTGAAAGTGAGCCCTCTGCACTTTGGTTCAGTTTCAGAATACCTTTGGCAGGAGGGGTCACAAAACTGGCTGCTGGCAGGGACTGATCTCCTTAGTTTTGATTTCTCTTTTCTCATTACATTTAAGCCTTCATGTAACAAAAAAAAAGTAGCATTTTAGTGTTAAAATATATTATGGCACTTGGAAATTTTCAGAAGGGCACAATGGATAGTTTTAGGTGACTACAAGGGTAAGTTTAAAACACAAAAATGATACAAGGGATATCATTAATTTTGTACAACAATTTTAGACTTGTTTTAAAACATAACATGGTATACTGTTGCTTTCTAATGATGTGCTTATTATGGTCCAGTTCCACTCTGTCTTTGCTAATCAAACAGACTTTTAACCAATCAAACAAAAATTTGTTAAAAACACCTAGCAAGGAGAGTGCTCCAAAAGCAAATCTTATTCACCATTAACCCCCTGATATTCAAGTAATTATATAATGGACTTACACAGGTTTTTGGTTCTGAATGCGGAGCATGCTACAGTTTGCCTTGAGCTCTTCTGGCGGGTAGTTGTCCTCACCTGTTCAGAAGACAGTAACAAAATTCATTAGTTTTGTGGGATTTAGAAAACTTTGACAAAGCTTAGCCTTTTATCCAAGAATAGCTGCAAATGAGATGAATTCATTCATTTTATACACATATCACAAATACCATATATATAGAGATGAGTGCTATGGTGGTCTGATTCTGCGCCCATCAATAGGAAAAAGTGCAATTAACTTGAATGAAAAAAATTAAAGACACAAATAAACTTTAGATGAATGTGAACATTACATTTATACTATATTATTTATTTATTTACTTACTTAGGAAGTTGTTCTGACTTTTTATCTAGAAGCCACTAACAAAGTCTATGAATAACATAGCATCAGATGTCATTTCATGTGGTCTATATTCACAATTTAACACACTTTGGAGCAGATACAGGCAATCTTTAGTCTGTTCTAATTTTCATTTGACAGACAGATTTTATATTTTTACAAGAGCAAAAAAGTTAGGTCTTAGACTTTCAAAAGGGATGAAGCAGAATTACCTAGATCCCACTGAAGGTCAGCTGGAGTTGATCTTTAATGGGGGAGCAGGGCACTTGTCAATATTTCACTCCAATATAGAGCATTTAGCCCCACAGTCAATTTTTTCTTCTAACTCCCAGCAGCATAGCAGGATTCCCATATATGCATTATAAAATTAATTCTGAACTCAGTTCCCATTTGCATTCTCCATTGGCCTGTATTTAAACAACCCTGTTGATGGCTGATTTTCCTCTCTAACTATAAGTTTTCCTTGCTGAATATACAGTATGAGACCAGGACAAAGTTGCTCAACGAACTGCGCTGAGGACTTTCCATCCTATTAAAAGCCACAGGTCTTAGTGACTTTCAGAATCTAAAGGCAATGGAAAACCTTAACTATCTGATGGTGAGGGTACTCTGCACGAGAATGTTAGTGGTGTTTGTGTTTTTGAAAAGAACGTTTTTATAACCAAATATTTAGTTCTCAAAATCAAGGATATTTCTAGGCAAAGAAAAAGCAGCTGTGCTCCATAGCAATGGCAATCTTAGCAGTGCTTCTTTCAGCATCAAAGCCATATCCATTCCGTCAGTTGTTCCTGGCTAAACAATTTGTGAAACCGATGGCAAACAACAGGCCCTATACATGTCAGTCACCAAAATAAAGACTCCTGGAAGGAAGGAGGATGGCTATAATCCCTGATTTTATCCAAAGAATGAGGCTGAAAACCTCTGTGAGGGGAGAATGAATATAACCTGCCCAGCAATGCACATCTGTGAGTACACCCTGATCTTATCCATCCAGTGCTTTTACAGAATACTGAACATTCACAGGGAAATAATAAAAAAAACCCCCACCACCTGTGATGTGATAACTTACTCCTGAGGAAACGTATGAATGGCTTCAGAAACTTCATTACGTAGTCGAGTTCAGGCTTGTGGATTCTGCCAAGCTGAACCAAATGCTGTTCCAGAGGAGTGCTTGCGAGCTCTTCCAGTTCATTTCTGTCATAGGACTTTCCTAGTGAAATTACAAGCACTGCATAGCCTCGGCACTTAGCTTGCAGGGAAATTTTTTTTAATGTTCCTTTGTCCCATTGGCTCGTTTTTCCAGCAGATATAATGATGATAACTTTGCGTGGCCTTGGATTGGGAGCCCCTGAGAAAATGTTAGCAATTGTCCATTGCATGGCATGGCCAACAGCAGCCTCTCCATTCAGCTGCTGAAGAGATTCTTTAATATATATTCTCATTAGGTCTTCATTGCTGTAGGTAACAAAGTCAAATTCTTTCTTTACTGGCCTCTTCCCTATGCCTGCTTTGAAATCTGGTAGTGCATGGCTCACCAGAGCTATTCTGTCCCCTACAACAGATGTTTTTGGATCTGAGGAAATGTTGAATGCAGTGACTGCTTTGCTCATGAAGTCTTTGACTTGCTCAAATTCAGCACCACTCATTTTCTGTGAACTATCCAGAATGAATGCAGCATCCACATATTCCTTCAGTAAACGGCGCCTGGGGCGTTCACAAAAGGCATCTGGTTTACATTTATCTGCAAAAGAATGTAAAATTAATTCGTATTTTTTTTGACAAATTAAAAAGCAAAGGTGTAACAATGAATGATCACAGATCTAAAGTGTCAGAATGCCCAATTTAAAAAAAAAAAAAAGAACAAAACTATTAGAAAGACTTCAATGCATGTTAGGAAAATAAAGGCTGACTCAAAACACATAATTATGCACCAGGTACTGCAAGACAGTTGGTGTTCTAGCTCCCATTGAAATAAAAAAAATCACAGGAATAGAGTTATAATAATATATAATAGCGAATTATTTATTTTTGGACAGGTTTAAAAAAAAGCAAGCTTTCGAAAAAATGTGAAACCAGGTCCTTACTTCCCATTAAAATCAACACTAACCCAAAATTCTCATGTTTACTTCAATATGTATTTGCTAAGGTATTTCATTTTTTTGTTATGACAGAGATCACTGCACACATCAACCATAGTAACTTTTTATCATTTGGGCAACATGTAAGAATGCATTTATGTGGCTACTTAAACTGAAGTTTTATTCCTAACTACTACAACTGCTGGAAGCTTTTTGAGGAAACCTAAAATATTGTGGCACTAAGAGGAGAAATCAATGCTTTCTGAAAAGGAACTTCGGGTCAAGAAAAGAAAATGGCATTTGCAGAGTTGTATTTTTTTCCCAGTATTGCAGAAAGTACAAGGGTCAATCTTCACAATGATGTTATTCACAGAAGAGAGTCTTTGTGATATTGGTGACCTTCACCAAATTGTTGAGGACTCTGGTTAGTAGTCAAAGTAAATCAATATTCAAACATTGCAAAATGACTGCAGTCAAGACTTTTGAAATATTTGCTAATCTTTCAAGCTACTTTCTATGAAAAGTAAATCCAACTCAGATTCAGAACATGCAAGTAGATTGTCCAGATTCCAGCAGAATAACAAGTCTTTCTCCCAAGTTGATAGGTGTGCTAATAGCTGCTGCACTGCACAGGTTCATCATAAATAAGTCACGGGACCTCACATGCCATGAACGTCAGACCACCAGCTGAGTCACAAAATGGTATATTCCTTGTTAATACTTCATCTGTCTTTCTGACCACTATGTGTCAGTAGGAATACATAGGGGTACTCTGCAGCTTTACATAGTGATGGAAAGACCAGAAATGATCTTCTGAAGAGTCAGGAAAAGGCAGGAGAGAAGGATGTAGGCTCTAGCCATATTACCAGTCTTCAGCAGTCTGGGAAGATACTGGTTTCACAGAAGTTGGCATTGATTACCACTGCTCTACATGCACTATGCAATCTACATAATACTCCTTTTTCTCCCTTAATGACAATTCAAAATGCTGTATTGGTCTTACCGTAGCACAAAGTGCACAAATGAAATCTTTGCGACACTTCCTTATATTCTGTACCACGAACATTTAGCACCTGAAACAATCCAGAATCATCCATCTAGACACAAAAAAGAAAGACAGTGGGTAAGTATTGCTGAGTAAGTGCTCTATGATTTCTTGCTGTTGATGAAGTGTAAATTCAGTGCACAAACTTGGCCTAGAAGACCCATTGTGGAGGGGGGAAGGGATGCGCTGCAGACAATTAGTGCACATATCCAGTTGTGGTAATCTCATACAGACTTGTTCCTAATTAAGTCCTAAAATAAGATAAGACCATTTTTCAAGTGCTATTGTGAAACAAGCAAAAGACTTCATATCTATCTGTGTCTATGCCAGATCCTCAGCTGACATATCCAAGTGGAAATTCTGCATTCTTGGAGTGTGACAAAATGCATGACAGACAAAGATTTTCAAATGTAAAATATTTAACATGGTCCAAATGTCTGGCAAAAGCTTCAGGTAGAAAAATTATCTACAGAAAAAACTAACTAAGCAATCTGAGTTGATGGGTGTGTCTCAGATGTGGAGTGATCTCTTGCAAAGTTGAGACCTATCTAAAACACCACCAAGGGTTTCTGGTTCCAGATTTCTTGTCCTCTTTAAAATATTACTTCAACACTTAGATTTGAATATAGCTGTTTCTTCTTAAAATATTTTTTAAAGCTACCAATGGACACAAAGGGAATTCAAATCATGTTATTGGCAAAAATCTTACACATTTCATAATCATCCATATACATGTTTAGATATATCTATTTATACATATGTGTTGTTTCCATACATTATTATATATACCTAAACTATGAATAAACTGCCATAAAGTCTGCCAGTGAAGTCTGGCATACACATGAAACTGCACAGAGCTTTGCCATCCTCCTAAAAAGAAGTTCCTCACCTTACAGACACCCTGGTTCTGCTAGATAACAATACTTATGCACCTCATGGAAAAGAGACCAGAATGCTTTTTATAGCACTATTTGTCTGAAGCCACAAAATCTCCATGCTCCGTGTTAAATGAAGTGCTACAGTTATGAAATCCTTTCTAACATTTTTCTTTACAGCAAGTGACCAGAGTGTAATATCCTTTCAGAAACTAAACAGTGGAGTAACAAAAATTAATCCATTCTTTAGTGAACTTGCAGTATCTAGAAATTTATTTTAGAGGATAAAGTCTACCTGCAGTACTTGTACAAAATGCCCTATCAACAGCAATGTGGCTAATAATAATTTTGAGATTTATTACTTAAATTTTAAGAAAAAGGCAGAAATCACCTCAGAACAGGTTTTGAATTTTCATTAGCTGCTCTATGGGCACCACTGATTCACCTCATACTTTGCAAGAGAAACAGTTTGTTGCCTTGAGGATTTTGAAGTCATCAGTGATGAGGGCCATCTACCTTAATAACATAACTCTAATAATTGATTTTGCAACAATGGATCGGAGACATTTGCAAGGTGGGCCACAATGTTCAAGTAAGTAGCCAGGCTACTTAGCTGAACCTTGTCTTCCAGTTCAAAAGACTTCCTACACTCATGCTGTTTCATAGTTTCTCCTTTGTGAAAACTGTGCGTGAATTGCATCAGAAGCACTGCTTCATGATAAGCCTTTTCCCAATGTCCCTTCCCTGCACTGTTCTCCTAAGGCAAGATTGTAGAAGCCCAGTTATCAGCCTTTCACCCATTTTCTTTAGAAAAGTGTCAAAGAATGGACAGTAAGATTGCAAGAGGAAAACACATCAGGTGGCAAAGTACTACTCACGTTCCTGAGAACTTATTTCATAAAATGAATGTGCATTCACTCATAGGTAAAAGTAGGACATCTACTTATGAGAAGACTGTTCTGCATCAGAACAGACAAGCGGAGGCATTTTACAGTTTTTCTTTTGAAGCAGAAGCTCCACACCATTCTTTCTTCACCCTGTTCCTCACAGTAAGGAACCTCATCCAATATGAGGCAGCACGAAGCAAAACAGGACACCTGCCAGGCACGCAGCCATGAGATAGAGTACCCTCATAAAAGTTTTTTCAGAATGATACCTCATACATATAACTTTCCAGAAGCCCATGAAAGAAGAAGGGAGGAAAGGATTTAGCACCATTCTTGATCATGAACACCTTCACAAGTGATAGAAAGCCGATGCTGGACAGAGGTGTACCTTTGAGATGCACATCCCTACACTAAAGCTGGCCTATTTTATACATTTTGTATTCAAATATCCACCTCCAGGTCTTTTGCAAGACAGTACAGTGCTGGTAACCCAAGGTTTTAGGAAATTACTCCTTTTACTCTCACAGAGTTCCAAACACACTGACCCATAAGGTTCCCACAGACATTTCAGTGGTTTTAGGGAACCTCCATGATAAACACCAAAAAGAGTACAGACCTTGAACTGCCATAGATATTTCTGTGACAAAACTCCAGCTGATGTCTGCTATATTTTAGAATACTGAAAATCCAGTCTACAAACACAAGCCAACTCCTAACTTTGTATCTCCGAGTATGTGGTCTCATTTAATTTGTAAAAGTGACTGTTACAACTAGGAGAGAACTTGGAAGCAAAGAGATAATGGAATAGGCAGAGAAGAATCTTCAGTTGCACTGATCGTCGGTAAGAAAGGGAGACTTAAATTAAAGGACAAGCGCTCTCTGAGATAAAGCTAGTAACCTTATTTCAGTGCTATTTCATAGAAAAACAAAGTCCAGCACATGAACCATTTGCCACTGAAAAGAAGAGAGAGCATCTGAAATACTTTGTCAGGAAAACACAACATACACAGTGCGGGAAAGATGACCACACTCCTTTACTACTCACATTGCATTTGTTTCTAGGAAAGAGCATCCCAGAAGGGTGATGAAAAGGAGCCTCAGTAAAAGCTCTCAAATCACACTGGCCTAAAAACCAAAGCTTGCTTTTTAATCTGAGAAATGGTTTTTAGAATCCCTAGTATCCTTGGCAGTGAAAGTGGACGTCCTTTACTAATGTTGTGTTTATCACCTTGGTGAAGATCATTTACACCTAGTAACAGGGCCGCAAGGAGGAGGCATGGAGCTTACTCCAGGTTCACTGGACGAATCGTCTTCTTCAGAAATCTCCAGTGTTAAAATACTACATTTTTATCCTCACAAGATTTCATGCCTGAAGTCCAGCCAACAGGAAAACCAGACAGTTAAGAGAGCAAGGACTATTCCTGTGGTTAGTTCTTGAAACACTTAGCATGCAAGCATGCCAATAGAAGATTGTCAGACATTAGTAATGTTTTACCTAGGGTTCAATATTTTAGTTCTTTGATTTTTTTTTCTATTCATTGCTACACATATTTCATAAATATTAAAGCTATGGAAATTCTAGTCCAAAGAACAAGAGAGTTTTTTAACTCTTAATAATTTATTATGCATTAGGAGCATTTTCCATAATTCCACCTTTTTTTTGGTAGCTTCTTTGCCAAGTGATAAAACAAGGAATTTGCAGCTAGCCACTTACTGTACAAGGCTTGCTGGTACATTGAACGTTTTTCTACTAAACACATTCTGTGAGTTTTTACTATTTTAGAAGGAACCATCTAGAGAGCTGAGAACCGGCTGTTCCATGATTTGCTTCACAGGATTATAAGCAGATGGGAAAAGTTCCCAAGCATTACAGTTGTAACAGATGCTTTAATCAGAAAGTTATTGACCACAAAATCTTTCCTCTATAAAGTTATCCATTAATTTTATGGTCTGCACACATTATCTTTGTTGTAGTCTGCTAAGGTATTCTTATAAAATCTCCAGTGTTTCCACACCTTTCATTAGCATCACTAAAGATTAACTGAGAGCTACTGGTGTGCAGAATTTGGATCAAAGTTTGATACAGGTAAATCGCTATGTTCAAGAGCATTACATGTGGGATAAGCATAAGCCAATGCATTTAAGGTTTCTTGTTTTAAACTAACATTACTGAGCATAAAGAAGAAAAGTTTAGTGAATTTCTTACCAGGAAAGCTTGGGAGATATGGGGTGTGTCTTCAAAAGCAATAACTACTGGAATGACTCCTACTGCACTCATCTCCAGGACAGCTTGTTTAACAGAAGATGCATCTGCAGCAGGTCCATGGCTGAAAACCACAGCTATTTTTCTCACATTAGGACCTTGTAGAGTTCTCTTGAAAATGTTCCTGGCAATAAATCTCATTGCACTTCCAATGTTGCGTTCACTGGAGGAACTCTGGTAAGAAATATTTTTTAGTGCGTTGAGTAACTTATTCTTGTTGTGAAACTCTGAGAATCGGATCAGCTGGTGAGTAACGGAGTTATAGGAAAGAACAGCGACTCTGGCTCCCACTGGGCAGTTGCTCTCTCTGATTCTGGCATCACTCACTATTGCCATCATAATCTCCCTCATTAGTTCAAACACGTCAGGAGTGAGTGTCCTAGAGGTGTCCAAGGCAAACACCAGTTCTGTTGGATATACTGGGCATTTCACTTTTCCTAGGAAAAAAAAAACCAACAAAAACCACCCCCAAATTATTTCTTTCCCTTGCATCTCAGACATGGAGAGTAACACACATAAAAGCCATGCACAGAATGAGAAAATGCTAAACTACATCCTCTGCTTGATACAAGCCCAAAGAAAAAGAGGGAGCCAGACAAAAATCTGCCCAACTTACACTGAAGCATGGTGTAGAAGAATACAAATTGCTCTTTCTTCTAAAGAGGTTTTACAAAGACATTTGAAAAACAGTGCTAAATTATAGTAGCACAATTTTACAGATGGAGAAGCTGCAGCAGAGAGAGTAAAAGTGGCTTTTCCAGCATCACCCAAGCAGGACAACAACAGGGCCCAGAGTAGAAATTATCATGGGTTTTGTCCAAATTCTGACCAGCTCCACATTCACCTGCACTCTGAAGCAGCGGGATGGGAGGCTGCTGCAGTCTGTGCCCCCCGTGCTGGGTGTGCCTGCAGAGGCAGAACCTCCACTGCCCACCTCAGAACGAGCTTGCAACAGTCTGCCTTGGGTTGCATAGGAGCATCCTCCACTTCCAGCACACAGGATTCCCTTTTGAAGCTCCTCTTGGGCACAGCGTGGGCCTACGCTAACTCAGGTACGGCCGTGCAGCCCAGGTACTGATTTGATGCTATTATTACTACTTTATTCTTAGGAGCACTGCTAAGATTTGATAATGCATGGTGACACTTCTGGAGTAAAACGCATTTCATCTTGCAATTACTCTAGCCACGGTATTACATCTAAAAGCAGAAATTGTGTTGAAAAAAATAATCTACTGCAGCACGAAGAAAAATGTCATTTAAAACCCACAGGCAATAGCAGGTAACAGAACTCCAGTAGTAACAAGATCATTTCCCGAGCACTCATGAAGGGAGAAGATTACCGACTCACTATTCCCAATCTGGTGTAGGACAAAAGTTCCATTATCATTTCCTATGTGTCACTGGTTTCAGAAACAGTCAGGCATGGAACACCCCAAGGACTGAGGGACGTTGAGCCATAATGCAAAGTGGACAGCCAGGAAGAAAAAAGCCCAAAGCAAAACAGAGGAGAACAGTATTGAAATCAGAACAAATAAAGAGGAGAAAGTTTTAAATTAATAGGTGTGATAAAATTTTTGGCAGCTCTGTGTAAACCAGTGGAGGAACTGGTGGGAGTGAAGTGAAGAACAGAAAAGAAGGTCAGAGAAGGGACAAGGAAGAAAATTAATCTGCAGTGCTGAAGCTGCAAGATCATTGCAGTTACGAGGGGTTAGAGAAGGATAATACTGGCTATATCTCCCAGGGAGAAGTAGAAAGAAACAACAAAAAAGAACATGCACAGGAACTGACCACCACCACCACATAGATAATAGGGGAAAAATGACAGAGGAGAAAATGGAGTTATTTGGCATTGCCAACAATATTCTTACCAACAGGGCTAAATCAAATACTGCTGAGGCAAAATGATACAAGGCACAAAGAAGGCCTGTGAACCTTTATTGCATAGTAGAAAGCTGTGACACATACAAGATTTGAAGGAACTGCTCCAAGTTTTAAATGCACTTTTCCAGTTCAGTTTCTCCTACCTACCTTCACGTGAACATTTCACAACATATTGTACCATCCAAATACGCGCCAGCACATGCACTGGGTGTAAGAGAGGGGCAAATAGGTCAAGCACTGTGTTACTGTGGGGAGAATCTTCGGCTGCTTCGTATTACGCCTGCTCTTCAGGGAATGGAAATGAGGGTCATACGTGCAGCAGTGGTTAAGATAATCACCCCTATTGGTGTTAAACAAAAAGGGGCATGCCTGGATTTTGAAAGTCAAAGCAGTCAAGCATAACCAGGAGAAAATTTATCACAAGGAAAGGCATCAGAGCTTTTGAGAAGTTCTACAGAACAGCAGCGTGAGGGGAAAATGTCAAAACCCAGCAGGTAAGTCAATAAGTAAGACAAGTAGAAAGCATTTCTTTGTGGAGGAAGGAGGAGGAAGCGGATGCGCTCGATGGCTCAGCAGATCTGTTCTAGGACCTGAGAGACTTTCACTCCCTGCTCTCCACAGACTTCCTAGGCTTAGCATTTCTATGCCATGCTGCTCCACCTGCAGAATGGGAGTAGAATTTGTGTGGGTGGCAAGAGCACGTATGCGTAGTAGGAGAAATGTCTGTGTTACAGTGTGCATGCCGTAGAGACTATAGAAACTATGAAGCCCTGGTTTGCTTAGGCTCAGTATAGCCAGTCACAGGGATGTGGTATTTGAAACTGAGCCAGTGATGGCCAAATCTTATCTGATGGTTTTAATTAAGAACACCTACCACATCTATGAACATTGACGTGTGTAGCCTCACTGAGTCATTAGTGGAGAGAAACAAACTGCAGGGGAAGCATCTGGTGGCTAAACACTTGCATTTTAGATACCGAAGTTAAAAGGGGATATATCCCATGCTAAACCCGGATTAACAGACTAAAGCTCCAGTTCAGTAAACATCCGACTCTCAACATAGGATTTAGCCCCTGTGAAGGGAACACACAGCTCAGTATGTTTGGTTGAGTGGAGCCTAATTCTACAAAGGCAAAGCAGTTCACAGCTTATGAGGTCTCTGCTAGGTCAGTGTGACAAATGAACGCCATCGTTCTGCCTTTCTAGTAACAGTGACATAGGAGTAAGCAGTACTCACCATCCCAGCAAGCTAAAGAAAGAGAAAAAGAAAGTTTAATTGAAAAAATTTGCATCTGAAGAGTTTTAAAAATAAAAGCAAAAGTCACTGGTGGAACATACACTGAGTTTAGTTTCCCTAGTTCTACAGATGTTAAGACTTTCAGGGATTTAACAATGCATGCATTACTGTCTTCCACTGCTGTGTATGCTTGCAAAACTCTGATTTTACAGGAGAATGGAGGAAAAGGCCAAGCAGGACCTGGCCCTGCTCTAGACCAAATATTTTCCTGGAGGGGTTTCCACCAGAGTTTAGAGATACAAATACATCATTAGTTGTAGAAATTCCCCCTATTTGGCGTGGTTGCTTTCTAAGGAATTAGGATGGATAGATAGACTAGGAAAAAATGATGCAAACTTACTTCACGGTAACTTGAACCACTGCATACCAAGACACTTAGCATTTCCAATAAATTATATTACAGTAACTTTGGCAATAGAAATTATTCTAAGCAACCAAAAAATAATTTTTTTTGCATTCTGAGCCCTAACTTCATTTTTCAAGCACCTGCCTACTGACACCGTAAGTTCATGGACACACTGAACACAGAACTAATATGATATTAATAAGATGGGGAAGAAAGCAAGTGCTGATATTTGGGCTTGTAATAGTAAAACAAGACTGAATGCTTACGGCTTTTTTTGCGGACGTAGTCAATGAGTTCACATGGCTGTGGACAAGAACAAAAAAGCATACATGAGCACATGACTACCCAATGAGTTACTGCATTGTGTGCATTTGTAGCATGGAGTGTGCTAGGGATACATACAGAAAATGAGGCTTGTCCGTTCGGTCCTTTACTCCCCTATAATAAAAAAAAATAAATTACAGTAATGTTATCTTCATCTCACCTAATTGCCTAGATATTTTACTAACCACAAGGAAAAAAAAACCAACCCAAAGCCAAGGGCTGATTGTATTATGCATTTTTATGTATTTAGTTTAATGTCTACCACTGTATGGGGATACTGAAAGTCCACAGTAGAACTGAAGGTTTCTACTACCTGTTATCTGTGTACATTTTTATTTCAGTAAGGGTGAGAAAAGATCAGTAATTGTTATTTGTCAGTATTGTTATTTGCAAGGACAGACCTCTAGTACTTTGAGAAATTCTTCTACACAGTGGTTACAACTAATTTCAGCTATGATCCTGTTTTGAAGCTATTAAGAAATTCACAGTATATAATTTCATATCTGACAAAAATGTACAGGGAAACTATCAGCTTAGCACGAGCTGTAGACTTCTTAGCAATAGTAACAATTAATGAGAGAAAAACAAACCCAATCTCTATACCATGTTGAATTTGCAAAGCATAAAGTCGAAGAAGAAATAAATATTTCTAAAGTGAGCCTCTTTCATTTGAGACTTAAGATACATGCCACTGAACTCCCACAATGGTACTTCCAAAGGATTTGTTAGAAACACATAATTGCTAAATTTACTGTGCTAGTGACAGTGAAAAAAATACAGTAAGCATTGTCCTTTGCATTAGTTAAAAGGAGAGGCTCAAAGTATGAGTCAGGCACACCTTTCAAACATGCAAAAGCTAGGCATTTAGATGCTGACTTATGAAAAGTACATTTGTAGGTATACAATTAGCCATTCGCATTCAGAAGTACCTGATTCGTGCTTACATACAGACGAATTCACAATCTGGTTTTAATTAATAAAATACTGAAGTTCACGGTGTAATACAATCACGCAATTTACAATATATGCACAAGACATCAATGGCAGTCATCTGAACCATCAGAACATTGCACATATTACCACTCAAGACCACCATAACAGGAAGAAAATGTTTCATTTCATTCCTTATTTTCCTATTCAAAATTAAAAAGAACAAATTTATTTTCCAGTACCGGCAAAATATATGGAGTCTAGGTCTTACCCTGCGTCCTGGAGATCCCCTGTCTCCTGGACTGCCTTCCAGACCAGGAGGTCCCGGAATACCCTATGAATAGCAGCATGTGAGATATGTAGTATTTGAAGAACATATAGAGGCAACATAAAATTTACATTTGCTACCGGAAATCAACGGATTTCCTTGCTTCTTCCTTTATTTGCTACGTGCTTAAGTTCCACTGACTTAAGTGTAAACAAGAAGTAAGAAAGAGCATCAGGTCTGATAAAATTTTCACTTTTACAAGAGAAACAACCTGCATAGCATCAAAGCACCAATTTTCTTCTAGCAGTTCAGCTAATTTTTAAGTGTATTATTAATCCAATAAGTTCAAAGCCCATCTAGAAATACAATCCTCACAATAAAATTAGCACATGCACATCTTTGCTTTTGGTGGCAAGAACCTTGTTTAATTTCTGGCCTTTTTGGAAAAGCAGTGCTGAGTAAAACCAGTTCACTGGGGCTGAACTCCTCCTGGTTTGTGACCACCCACAACTACCAGCTCTCCTTTCTGTAGGGAGCAGCCAGCCCATGTTACACCCTGTCACAACAGAGGAGATGTGAAGTTAATATTCAGCCGTGGAAAAGTTTAGGGGAAAAAAGGGAGAAAAAAACACACAAGAAGCCAGAAAAATCAGGACAAGGAAGTTTATGGGGAGTAAATGGGATCATCACACTGCTCTTCAAACCAGCAAATTTCTTCTACAGCATTTTTTTATCTAAAAAGCACAAAAGGAAAGTGAACTGGAACAGCAGGTATGACACTCAGAAATGCTCATTGCTTCTGTTCAGTGTGACATACACAGGGACAGAGCATGGCCAGCATTAGCAGGCTTTGAAAGTGACAGACGTAACATCTAAAAATCAATACAAGTGTGCAATCAGCACATGGAGGAGGAGCCTATTAAAAAAAAAAACATTAAAGATTCATCAAACAATGATAAGGTACTTGCCATTCTGCCTCTATATCCTTTTAGTCCACGTTCCCCTGCAATTCCCTCATCCCCAGCTTCACCCTAGTTAATTGGAAAAAAATGTAATTAAAATGTGAAAACAGGCTCTCCTGATAAAAACACAAACTTCTCCAGATATTATGACAGCATTTTTCCACAGAAATGCAGGGATATGAAAGACTGCACACAAAAAATTAGTCATAGATTCATGTAAATAAAACCCAAATCAAACCTAGACAATGTTTTTTTTACCAGGGAAAAAGAAAATGAGATGCAGCTGTTACTTTAATGCGGCATCATAAGATAATAAAAGTCACACAACATCTCGTTTCACACAAGTGAAAGCACTTCTCCCTCTAATCTGCCAAAACCATACTGCTGACTGCAATGTATTCTCTCCAAATATTACTTTCTACGGCAGAAGTGTGCTGCTTCCAAAATGTGATTTATCTACTTGTATGCTAAAGCACATGCTGATTTCCCATGAGAACAGGGAATGTCTAATCACTCCCTAATTACTGTGTAAGTCAAAATATTGGAGAAAATATTAACGTGCAACTTCTGTGCACAGAACATTGAAAATGTCTGGTGATATTAACAAGAACAAGCCCCTGTCAGATTTTCTACATCCATGGGGGATCGTATATCGACCAGCAAGCTCTCAGAACATGAGGTACTCCTTATTCTTCTTTAATCCGTACACAAATGGCCATTTACTAGGAAGGTTTGGGTCAGACATTTGGCACGCAACTTGCTTTTGCTGTGGCCATAGCTCTACATCCACAAGAGTATAGATGTTAAGCAGCTTTACTAGCTGAAGCCTAATGTATAATACCAATTTCACAGCTCAGTCCTATTTAGGCAATCTGATCAACCAGCTCTTCATTGTTTTTAGAACTGGTTGAGGCTCTATACTTCACATTCAGCTTCAATCTTTTTCTGGAAAGTATGATTGTTAAATTTGTGATCCTGAGTTGGGACCAAAAAAAAAAGAAAGCAGAAGTGTTGCATTTTTCCACAGGATAGAAATTTGTTGTTTCACTCAGTTGTCATTATTGTATTACTTAATAAATTAACTGAAGGAAATGCTCCGCTTGTAATTTTTTGAGCAATCATGGATTCCTATTAGGAAAACAGGTCCTACCAAAAACTTCTATAAACACGACTTCTGTTTTGCAACACAGTGGAGGGACAAAATATTTTTTTTTCCCAGCTAAATGTATTTTGGCATTTCAATATAAGGAACCTAAAATTTGTAACAAGCCCACAGGGATATTAGTGGTTGGCATATATCAAACACAAGCCTATTTAATAAAGACTGACAGAATTAATTAGAAACACACAAGCTAGCTTGTTCTCTTACTTTATAAATTACCAACTATTTTTTTTATGTTCAGAAGATTATTATTTCTGTGGTTTGGTTATCTTTTTGTAAACTCTTGCCATATAAAACATGATGTCAACAGACTATTGGACTTGCAAAATTAGGCACTTGAAAGTAAAGCAAGGTTAGGACTTTTGCTGATAAATTTCCAATTTATTTCTCTCCAAAATTCTTTTTTCTCCTTTGTCCATATATTAGTAGCACAGAGTTAGCCTGAATGAATTCACGCTGACACCGTCATACAACGCAGCATAGCAAGACCTCCTACATCCATTGACTTTTACTGTAGGGAAGGCAGAAGCTGTTTTCCCAAAGTTCCTGTCAAAAGGCAAGTTCATCTGAAGCTTCAGGAGCAGGAAAACCCACTGCGAGTCCCACTTGTGTGGCAGCCTCTGGATCCTTGGAGTTCAGAAGAAACACCTACCTACAAACACTGTCTTTGCTTAAACGATTAAAGTGATGCAGTAAATTCAAACTTTGCTGAAAAGACTGCACACAGAGCAACATCATTGAGTAAACTGTAAGAGGGACAAATGCAAACAATAGGCAGGCTTTCCAAAGCCCATTTCAAATCTAGGCTGTTTCCCTCAAAGTTAGGGCTTATTCAGGACATTTGGGCCTTCCCTTTTCATGTCTTTGTGACAGTTGCTTCATTTTATAGCCGCTGCATCAGATCAGTTCTTCCCAGCAAAACACCTGATCCATTTTTATTTAGTGCTCACTGTCTGGAGAGGGGAGAATGGCAGATGAAAGCTTTCAGTCATTTACACTTACACAGGTTACCCCTCCTTCTCCTTTAACAAAACCATATCCTACTTCTTTTCACGAAATGCCAGAAAAATTCACTCAATGTACAGAAAGTTATCTACAAAAACTACTCTCATTTTAAAAAAGAAACATCAGCAATAGCATCTGCCATTTTTGGAATGGCATAATTCTACCAGCTACATCTGAGTTACACCCATATGACCACAACGCAGTAAAGAACAGATTTTTTAAGCTAACATATATGAAAGCCAGAGAACTGTTGAGGTAAAAAACCAACATATACCTTTTGTCCAGTTTCTCCAGGAAATCCTTTATTTCCCTGTAACACAGAGAGTAGAGATAATTAAATTCACAGTATCATCCCAGTGTTGTTTTTTAATTGGCATTTGAAAGTAATATGCTGCTTTTTGGATGTATATGTATGAATACTTACATTTTATGTACGTCTGTACTGCATATATATATTGGATAGATGAGGTGCTTAGGGACACGGTTTAGTGATGGGATGGCAGGCTTTGGTTAAAGGTTGGACTTGATGGTCTTAAACCATCTAACCATCTAACCAAAGCGATTCTATGATTCTATATATTGAAAGATCACACACATATATAAAAATACTGCTGACGGGGATCTACTTACAGCTTTAGGTTGTACCAGTCATGAATAAAGAGTGAAATTGTCATTACACTGGCAGCTAAAGGAGATTGGTATCTTAGCACATGAAAATTCTTGAGGTATATTTCTAGTAAATCAGATGTAGGGCAGAGGCTGGTATTTGTTAGTGGTGATATGCCAAGCTGTATTTTTCAATTCCAAAAAACACACTAGCAAGAGCTTGGTATTGGCCAGGAGACATTGTCTTGCAGGGATGCAATGTGCCATATGAGCAACTTTTAAGGATTATAACAACTCTTACTTTTTTGAATTCAAGGGACAGGCTCATGGCACATTTAGCTATTGCTGGTTCCAAAATCTCCCTCCAGTATTTCTCAGGACCAAGCCACCAATAATGCTTCTGGCAGTGTGTGGGATGAGCACCTCCAGGTTGTCTTCTCCTTCTTGCACATTCCTTGCTCACAATCTCACCAACAATTGCCACAGTCTCTGGCTCTTTCCAAAGAAACCGCCAAGGCCACACTGCTCACTTCTCACCAGGACCTTGCTAATGACTTTGAATAGCATTACTTGTGTTTCAGTAGTTTGCATTAAAGGAGCTTAATGACTACTTTAGATGTATTCTGAATGAAAAACATTTTTGCAGCCACCAGATTTTATAAATTGTAGGAATGCAAAACTAGGAGGAAACTTGTGATGTGATTTGCCTGGTGTTTCTGCCAAAACATCATATAATCCTGCTCCTGAAAGCATCAAGTTTTGTCTAAAAATCTATTGAAGCCTCCTGCATCCTACAACCACTACCAGAAATATATTCTAGAATCACAGTATGAACTAGCTTCATTGACATGACAAATGATGGCTCTTGGCCACAGGGACATTACAGTCTAAGGTAAAGGGTGCAAAATGCACTGTGAACCACACTGATTTTAGCAATTCATTGTTTGTTCTCAGGTACGTGCTCACATAGAACAGCTAGTGAATTAGTCATAGTGAGTGATAATTAGAAATAAAGTCAGCAGTTGTGTAGGTTAGAGTTCTATGCCATATGCTTCGGGATGAAATTCAAATAGCTATAGATGGTGCACTTCCCCCAGCTTTCCCTCTTACTGTAAATCACTTCTAAAATAATGGAGAAAGTAATAATTTCCTTATGATTCTTCTTTCAGTTTTACCTTTACTCCTTTTTCTCCAGGTAGGCCATATCCAAAAGCGCCATCTTCTCCCTGTAAACAGACCAGTTTTATTTAAGTATTTGCACTTGTATTCTTCTTGCGTCTATCAGCACCTTATTTTACTGATCAGGTTCCTTGGAGTACAGAATCACAGGAAATCTGATGTAAAGGACTGCAATACATTGGGGAGGAGGAAGATGACTTCTACTCCATTCCACCTCATACATACGCACCCTGTGCCCCTGAACTGGTATAAAGAGAAGCAAAATCTCTGCAGTCTGTGGGAAGTAACATCTTAAAAGTGAACACAAAGGTGGAAGTTGGTCCTGGTTTGGCCCGCAAAGACAGGAGGGATGATGGGAATATGGACAACATTGTCTCCAAAGCTGACCCAGTCTAACAGAAGGGAAGGTATTATACATACAGGAGAAAGCCAAGTTAACAAAAAAAAAATAAATCCTCCTGCAATTGATTACTGTGAAAATACTACTGCACTGTCTCTAACTGCACCTCAAAGCAAATGTTTAGAAAATCTAGCCCCAAAAGAATCAATCATAGAATCACTTTGGTTGGAAAAGACCTTTGAGATCATCGAGTCCAACCTTTAACCTAACCCTGCCATCCCACCACTAAACCATGGCCCTAAGCACCTCATCTATCCTTCTTTTAAATACCTCCAGGGAGGAGGACTCGACCACCTCCCTGGGTAGCCCACTCTCCAGACTAAACAACCCCAGTTCCCTCAGCTGCTCCTCATATGACTTGTGTTCCAGACCCCAAGCTGTTCCAGACCCCTCACCAGCTTGGTTGCTCTCCTCTGGACATGTTCCAGCAACGCAACATCTTTCTTGTAGTGAGGGGCCCAAAACTGAACACAGTATTCAAGGTGCGGCCTCACCAGCACCGAGTACAGGGGCACGATCACTTCCCTACTCCTGCTGGCCACACTATTTCTGATACAGGTCAGGATGCCGTTGGCCTTCTTGGCCACCTGGGCACACTGCTGGCTCATATTCAGCCAGCTGTCAACCAGTACCCCCAGGTCCTTTTCCACCAGGCAGCTTTCCAGCCACAAAACTGTGTGTTTATACTACTGATAGAAACCAATCAGACTCTTGTTT